TCTCTATGGACTTGGCCCCTGCATATTTGGCGCCCCCTGTGGGACTTCGCCACAAAGTAATCACTGACGAAGGCTTTTCTCGACGCAATCCTCGTGACGGGCCGTATGGTGTGTTTATCACGCACCTCGACGAGGGAGTTCACTCAGCCATCGATACCGGCCCTTACGAGCACCTATGGAACCAGTCGACAAGATTCGTCATGTCCCTTCTTTGGGAATCCAATGATCAGCGCCAAAGAGCAAAAGAACACTTGATATCGATGAATATTGCAATTGATCAACAGAATGAGACAGAGTTGAATCGTCCTTCTGGCACTGGCTGTATTGAAGTGCACAATCTTCATCGCGCAGGTATCCAACTAGACCTAGCGGTCAGAGACGTCAAGTTCTATCGCTCAACTGCGCGCTACGAGGATGTACGTGACTTTGTTTGGGAGAGAATCCAGAACAGAAACTATCCACCAAGCTGGGCTATCACAAGGCACCAGTTTCAATGCCATGTCACCAAATTTGAAATCAAACCCTCGATATCTAATGCTTTGGATAGTGAAGATGGTGCTTATCAACAATCTAATGTACAAGCCACATCAAAATCAACACTCAACGCCAAAGCGAACCGAAAGGTCTCACTAGCCGATGTTATTGAGACACATCGAAAGATGGCTGCCTCGCAAACATCTCGGAAGCCCTCTAAGCCCCGGATTATATAACACTCTGAATTATCTACAATGAAGAATAAGCACATCAATGGATATACTTCATTCATATCACGTCTCATTTCAACACAAATATCTCTTAGAACCATGTAACAAAGAATAAGAGCAACCACATGAATTCGAGCCAGTAGGCGGTATATACATTCTCAGTAGAAAAGATCATGCGTTCTCGGTGATGATATCCTCAGATGTGAGGCGCTCTTTAAGGGGGAGATCTGTGATTCTCGGTTGTGTATAATTGATTCGTTTCTCAAGGTGCTCGTAGGCTTCGAAAAGTTTCAAGTAGTCGCGGTGTAGCTGGTCATAGTACGTAGATAGGGCATTCTTTTCAACGATGACATGCTGCATTCTCCACCCTGAATTATGCAGCGAGCTTTGGAGAGATGAAATTTCATTTCGAAGTTTGGCGATTAAGTGAGCATCTGCTTGCTCACGCTGGAAGAACCGGCGTACAACGCTCAAAGGAATGACAGCATTTTCGAAGTTAACCTTGACTTGTTAGCAGGGGGGCATCGGTTAATCACAAAATTGCGTATGCCTACAGCTTGATTTTCCATCGTAGCCGATTGATTCATATGGGTAGATTGATTTTTGGAATGCGAATTCTATGGAATATTTGGTGGGTAGGGGGTTAAATAGTCACATCTACTTGGTGCATTACTAAGCGCGCATATTAATCTATGTGTGATAGGAAATCTTATTGTATGTAGATCATATCCTAATCCCCTCTTATCACACGCGTTACTATCCCTGCTCCTGGAACAGATGGTTCAGTTCGACGATGCTATGCCATAATTAGAAACAAAAATCTAACCTGGAGTGACATCGTCTTACCGTTGGGCTGCTTGTAGACTTCGCCACTTGTTCTCTAGGCCCGATGCAGATCTCTGTCGGTCATTCGGGACCTCGTTGTTGAAGCTGGATGCAATTTGTGCCCATGACAGTCCACTATACTGCTTGAGCGAAATCAGAAGTTGTTCTTCCTCCTCATAGTATGGTTTGTTATGACCTGAGGGGTTCAGCTCGGTGGTCATCGGGGCGGCTTTTTGACAATATGGGCGTGATCGGGTTAGAGGAAATAAAACTCTGAGGTGGGAGCGTCTCGCTGGCGCGATACTCCTTTTAAATCAAACTTTTCTAAATTTACTACCTTGCGTGGGCGCTGCGCCGCCGAATGAGAGCCAATTATATCCCTGTTATCACGTAGGTTGCGCAGGAACAACAAGATAAATTCAACTGACTGCGCCATTTTCATCCTACACAATTATCAACATGGAATCTGCAGATTTTGATGAGTTTATTAGATGGGGCGAAGATTGCGATGAGTTCCCCGATCTTCAGTATGCCCTAGGCAGCGAAGACATATCTTCGTGGGACCAAATTTTGGATCAGTACCTGGACCCATACGAGTATCTAGACCCGTTCCCACTTGGCGCACTAGCTCCAATCGAAGAGAAAGCCGAAGCAATTGAGGCACTCCCCGAGCTATCACCCAGCCCGACACCACAATACGACATTCAGATGCTAAGCGAATCCATCACTGAGCTTAAACACCGTGTCAATGGACTGGAAGACCGGTATGGTACCCCTTCCCATCTCACAATTGAAATTATTCAGTCACTAAATATATTAGAATTACGGAGAAGCAAAGGTTTGCCTGCTAAACAGATGAATTCCCCGCCCTACGCTAACTGCAGGCAGAAGGATCGCCGACTTGGAGGCTTATCTCGAGAACCTGCAGCCGTTCCTCCTACAACTTGGCACATCGATCGAGGGACTTTTGACTAGTGCCCCACAATAGGCTGTTCAGCCCGGCAGTTTCCGGATGGAGGAGGGGTAGAAAGAGTTTTACGGCGATAATAATTTTGATTTGTTGGAGATATTTTTCTGTTTTATTTAGCCGTACCGTCAAATCTAAGTGGTCTAGGGTGCTTATAGGCCGTGTAGAATACACTAGTGGGAAATGAGTTCCAGACTAATGCACCGTAAACATCTGGGTGTCGGTCACACCGCGCTGTGGCGCGGCGTGAGTTTTCGGATTTCCACTAAAAGCCTAGCCTATAATTTAGCGTCTTGGCCGACGATCCGGCCCACGAGCTAAATGAGACGAGACAGGGTTCACAAGGCGTAGGCGAATAGGGTCCCGCTATGCTTCGCGCAGCAATCTGCCTTGTCAAGTGTCCTACGCAATAGAAATCGCCCCGTTTTCCCACCTTCCGTGATGTGACATCGCAGAAATAACTCCTTTCTTCCCCTCATAAAACATTCACTGACCCTTGTTTTCCTCCCCACAGTGTTTGATCAATTTCTTAGGCGCTCTATGTATTCTCGTGGGCGTTACTTCTCGTGGGCGTTACTTCTCGTGGGCGTTACTTCTCGTGGGCGTTACTTCTCGTGGGCGTTACTCCTTGTGGGCGTTATCCTGTGTGGGCGTTATCCTATGTGGGTCCCTTATGTGCGTCACTCCTCGTGGG